AATAATTTTCAGAGAAAATGGATTGCATATTCGTCTGGTTAATTTTAAGTTGAGCATCTATTACAGTTTGAACCTGAAGCAACGCTTGTGTTCCAGCACTTCTGGTAGAATGTTGGTCAGGTTCTTTTTGAGTATACTTGGACAAAGATGGGCATAGTGATATTAGTTGTGAGTGTACCATGAGTTGAAATTTATCGTTTGACTTAAACTAACTAGGACTTAATGCATGTGTTGCTGCATGGCTGCTAGAATATTTGGTAATGTAGTATTTGCATATGCTTGGACAAACATGGAGATAGTCATGCTAGGCTGATACTTGCTGTGTACAAAGCATCTAAAAACATAAATTTCGGTTCTAAATTAACATTTTTGTTTGTCACTTTCATTTCTTATTTCTTTTCTTGTTCACTAGTCTGGAAACTTTTACACCGTGCATGTTCTCTGTTGGCTACAGGGCAATGTTTGGGCACTTATGCTGATGACCATAATGCACATAAGATTGTTTTGATGAGTGTATCACTGCTGGGGAATCCATCCTGTCCAAAGTACTCTTCATTTTCCTCTATGTCCTTAATTGATTCAATCAATAAGGATATCCAAGGAGATGTATTTGCTGTTAAGCATGCAATGCTACTTTACAATATCTGCCGGATTGCTGTGAAACACTACTCTTTTGGGTTTGCCAGGTATATGTTGCAGAGTATAACTCAATAATCTGTCTGTCCAACACATTATACTATGTGCATACATCTCTTACATGCTATGTCATGAAGGTCAACTTAATAGCCAGTAGTCGCTGATATTTTTGTCAAAATTAATGGAGTTCCTTTTGATTTAAAATTCACAAGAGTGAGAACAACTTTAGGAGTTAACTGGTTATATGACTAAGAAGGTTGCAGCTGTTTAAATGAGCTCTTTTTTTTTTGTGGAAATAAGTTCTGGTTTAGGCACATATGGGATACCTTATAGAGATAACAATTCCAGTTGAAATGATGTTATTCTTTTCTGTATAATTTGTTCCTACTTGTTTCTTTGTGATTATTTTCGATTTGCCTGATAGATGAGTATTGCCTTCACACTGGTGCTTCTTGAGCCCATCTAATATTTGTGTGCTACTCTGTCTCACTTTTTCTCTTATGTCAACCAGGGAGAATGGTTGCCAATTGTCATGTATTGGGATTCCCAGAATCTTTTCTTGGTTGAAGCTGGCATTTATGCTCTGCTGTCAAGTTCCCTTACTTTCTCAGAAGGTTAGGTCTTTTCAGAGCTTTATATTTTGTCATGCTTTGAACCAACTTAGATACAGCAGATTCAGGCTTGATACGATGACCATGCCATATATTGCCTCTTGGCTTATTATTAATGAAATCACTGGTTGGTTAGTTATTAGAATTTAGTGATAATGGTTCCCATGGTGTACCAGTGTGGGACACCACGATCATGCATTAATCTGCCAATGACAGTTTCTGACAATCAGATTTGAATTTGGATTGGTCTAACATAGGTTAACTGTGGTGTCTTACCTTCCATTTAGTTAGATAGCATTTGGTAATTGACATCCAACCCAAAATGCAATGCAACAGGTTTCCAGGTTGCTTACTGTGCTCTACGTGCTTTCGACCTCAGTTGAGGCTTTTTCTATATCACCTGATGAAGCAGTTTCTCAAAGTCACTGGGCTACATTTTTCCACCAAGCTTCGATTGGTAGTCATTTTAACCAGCAACTACTTTCTAGCATGATGAGGAAGCCAAAAGTTGAAGGCGTGATGGATCTTGAGGTATGCGTTCTGATATATGCTTTGTTCTTCTGCAGTAGCGTGTTGGTATCTCTTTGATGTTTTGTTGATTTCTTTGAATTTTCTGCTTTTACTATACCACCATTTGGTAGGCACCATACTGGGCTTTGCTTGCCCTTCGTTAGATCTACAAACATCTTTGTGGACAGGAAAAATGGTGCTGACCTTTTGTTTCCTTAGTAAGTTTTGAGGCAGTTATGACAGACTGCCTTTGGTTGGTCTGAAACTGTTAATTCTTGAACTCTGGCCTCTCTGTTTCATGATTTTCTTGTTGCTACAGCAGACTTTCGGCTGTTAAAAACATGATTTCTGGTCTAATGTGCATATTTTCTGTTCATAATAGCTCTTCTTATTTACTGCTACTGAGTTGCATATTGTTTTGAATGCTAACAGTGTTTCCTGACATTCATTCCTCGTGTTTCTGTTACAGGATTGTTCTTTTTGTAGCTCAAATTTTGTTTCCTTCAGTGCCATTAGCTTCCTCAGGTTTTGATTTGCCTTGTTGGGAGAATTTTTCACTATTTTACAAAGTTCAGTCATTTCCATGTTTCTAAGATCTTTCTTCCTGATGCAGGCTTGCACCTGATTCACTAGAAGGTTTGGGCAAATATGTGATGAGATTCTTCCAGGAACTCCCTTGCACTACCATAATCTGTATTAGTGTTATAGGAGGTGCTGATGCCATTCTGTTGAGAGAGCTATTGTGTTGTACCTCTGCTCGAGCATGGATCCTCTTGTCCCGCTTGAATTCTAAAAGCCATCCCATTTTCCTAGTTCTGCCTATAGAATCACTGTTAGAAGGTAACCATGTTTGCGTTTTTTAAGTTGGCTTTGAAAATGTTTGAGCCAAAGGAGGACTAAAAGAGTTGAATATCGATAAAAATGTTCTGATATCCTGAATAAAGGAGTAATTTTGACAAAAAGAACTTCAACATTGAGAATGCCTCAGTAAAGTTTACCCTATGTTGGATAATTGGAAAACTAGCATGAATGGCATTGAAATCTGTTCACTATTTTCAAATTAACGTACACAGTTGTCTTAAATGCTTTTTAGCTTATTATGTAAAATTGGAAATCATCAGTTTATAATCTGCATGTTTAATTCAACTTTAAGTCATCAAAATTGGTGTCTCCTTGTGTAACCTGGGAGAATACTATATACAGGATCTTTTATAAGACATTAATATCAGGCTACCCCTTTTCACTTGTCTGATACTTTGTTTGCAGAAGCATCATTTGATATTTCCCTACAAGGCGAAGATTTTGTCAGCCAGTGGCGCTGTCCATGGGTCTATACCGTGGTGGATGAAATTGCCCCAGCTTTCAGATCTATACTAAGGGAGAATTACTTGTCTTCAGCATCTCCAAAAGAAGACTCTACAAGCAACAGGGTACTATGGTGGTCACAGAGGAAAAGGCTTGATGATTGCTTTGGTAAATTTTTGCAGTAAGTCTTTCTCCCCCTGGAAATATAATTCTGCCTGCACTAAGGAGAAATGAATGTGTGCATTGTCATTTGAGACTTTTTCATTTGTTTGTGATCGATCATACAACTGATTAAGATGGATCTCAGATATAATCTGACTGCAATGTCTATTTTTCTTAGGTAATGTCTCATTTTGTTTAAAGTAAATCTCAATGAGTTTTAGCAAGAGAAAAATCTGGAGTATTTATGTGATGGGGACCTCATGCAATGTTATATCTAAGTTGTAAATGACAGTGATATCTGTTGTCTAGATTGGAATGAAGAGGACGGTTACTTGTATACATACACACAAGCATATGTATGTATGCAAACACATCCATATACACATATTTGCATGTGTTTGTATATATGTACATGTATATGACACCATTAGCTTCGATGAAAGCCATATTCCATGCCCTTGCAACTTGGTTGCGTGGGAATCTTTCCCTTGTTAGGCTTCCCTATTCTATGTTATACCGTAATTATTGGCTTAAGCAATTTTTTTCCTGAATTTGATAAGATCCTTTTGAAATCCTGATGTTTATGGCAAGCAATGTTACAATACAGCATCTTTTTGACTCAGGTACTTGGAAGATTCATGGCTAGGTCCTTGGAAATACTTACTGTTAGGGGATTGTTTGGACAGCAAACATGTCAAGTCTCTGGGAAAGAATCTAATGGATAGTCTTTTGCACAAATGTAAAGTGAATGTTGATAAGGATCTTGCTGAAGTTATTCTTGGTGGTGCTTTGTATTCTTCTGAAATAAGAGAATGTGGGTTACAGCTTATTATTAACAAAGGATGTTACATTGGTGGATGTTGTGAGGCATTATCCAATGCGTCTACTGAAGTCAGAAGACTTTCCCTGGAAGTGTTTGAGACAATCCTTGAAACAGGACTTGCACTTGCAGAGACTGAAAGCCTTGGCCGGAAGCCTGTCACTCTTGTTTTGGACTCTGCGGTGCAGGTGCGATTTGGTTATCTCTCACTTACTGTTTACTTCAGTGTTTTTTCACTTGTTTTTATCATTAAAAGTTTCCTGGAGCACTGTACTTAGGGGAAAGTTATGTGTGGGATTGACAGAGTCTATGAACAATATCAACCCCTTTGTTTGAATACGGTGAAAGTTATGTCAAAAAAACAAATTGCAATAAGATGAGATGAAGGAAAATGCACAATACTGTGTATCGTCAACAAAGTTATAAGGGAAATTGGTAGCAATAGATAGTTGCAGTTTCTGTAACAAAACTCTCCTACAAAATCCTGCAATTTGAGAGTACACTAAATGCTGGAAAGTGTAAAAAAGTAAAAAAAATTTCTACATTTCCTATCAACCTAACAGACATGAGAAAACATATTTTCCCTCACTGTCTACACTTCCCTCAGAACCAAATGCTCTGGAAGTGGAAGTTGAGAATATGGTAGGATTAGTTTTTGAAACTGGAACCCTCTCTTGGTCCTATCATAATCTCAAAGACGTCCATTCTGACAATGATACTTTTTACTCAAAAGATCTCGGGTTTCATATCTTGTTAGCAGAACTCTTTCATACCCCAAACTGGCACAGGTGAACAAGTCCCTTGGAAAACCAGCAAGAGGAAAGTTTAGTGTAATCAAAATATGGGTAAAATAATGATTAATACAGTTTTAAAAGGCTAATTGGGTAGATCTTTTGGTGGTTTTTTGAATTGTAAAGTGAACCACATTAAGATTGATATATGCTTGGATAATCTGATTGACATTAACTGCAAGTATTAACAAAATAACATAAGCTTGTTTGTTCTTCAACTACCCTAGCTGGATACAGCTCAATCAGTTACTTGAGTGACTTGTGCAGTCGGTGACAAATCATACCATGTTCATTGACATATATTTTTTGGAATAAATGGATGAAAGGAAAGGCAATTTGTAGATCTTGTAATTGATCAAAAACTCCATGCAGATGCTTCCTTGGGAGAGTCTACCAATACTAAGAAATGAAGAAGTCTATCGCATGCCTTCTGTTGGCAGTATCTGTACCACACTTGCTAGATGTCATCACTATCAGGATCAGCTGCCTGAGCAGGGTGAAGCTTTCCCAGTTATAGATCCCTTGGATTCCTTTTATGTGTTGAATCCCAGTGGTGATCTTAGCCGCACACAGGTTGAATTTGAGAATTGGTTCAGAGATCAGAAGTTTGAGGTAATTATTTCTTGATTAGCTAGACAGTTGGAAAACAGGAATATGTAGTTCAAATTACATTCAAATCTATGCTTTCTGGGAATAGACAACGATCATCTGTTCACGTGTGTCATTAGTCAAGTGTTTTTTACTGCATTGTACTAGTTTGCTACTTTTTATTTGAAACTTGAAATGCAAGGCCGTAGCATATACATCAAATGCTTGCTTGACTTGCTTTACAGGGGAAGACAGGAACTGTGCCTAAAAGTGAAGAATTGGTGCGGGCATTGAAAATCTATGACCTCTTCATTTATATTGGCCATGGAAGTGGTATGGATTATTTGAACTTTTTGCAATTGCTATGACTGGATAATGACTTCCGTGGCTAGTTTATCCTTATTCTTTGCATCTTTATAGACTACCCGTGTTGATAAATGACACTTGAATGTACCTGTTGAACTTCAGGATCCCAATATGTTAATGAGCACGAGATTAAGAAGCTCAATAGATGTGCTGCTACTCTACTCATGGGTTGCTGTAGTGGATCTTTGTCTATGAGCGGATGTTATGCTCCCCATGGTACCCCACTCTGCTATCTCTTAGCTGGTTCTCCTGTTACAGTAGCAAATTTATGGGAAGTGACTGATAAGGACATTGATAGATTTGGTAAAGCTATGCTGGACGCATGGTTGAGAGAAAGATCGGTTGTTTCAGAGAGATGCACTAGATGTGATATGCTCTTGGACAAATTTAAGTCCATAAATATCGGTGAGACTAGAGGAAATGGAAAAGAAAGAACAAGAAATAAATCACCTGATAGTTGTGTGAGTGTGTGTAGTACTTGTAACCGCAGACCCAAGATTGGTTCATTCATGGGGCAAGCTCGCAAAGCTTGTAATCTACCTTTCTTGATCGGAGCTTCTCCCGTTTGCTATGGTGTTCCGACAGGTATAGCTGAAAAGAAAAGAGTTGTCGTATTATCCCCCTGAAATTTGTTTGCCAGGGAATAGTTTCATTCTTTGACAAGCTTAGTATTCGCCAACAAATCTACAAGTCAATTCTACATTATTGTCCATGCGAACTCCAAAACCTCTAGACATTTTTGCTTTTGAGTTGGCTTGCTAACTCCAGAAAATTCCAGCAATTTTCTTTTGAACGTGTGATTGACTATGAGGATGATGGTGGAAAATGACCGAGGCACCGTTGGGATTTGAGTGGGAGGCAAAGAAAGGGAGATGAGTTGACTTTTATTGTTTGGATTAATTTTTGGGAAAGGAAATATTTTGTTGAGTTATGATTTTTGTTTAAAAATAGGTGGGAACGGAGAGAAATAAAATAAAATAAATTTAAAATTTTCCATTGATATTCTTTCCTTTGATTTCCCTTCCCTTCCTTCAATCCAAACGGTGCCTGGGAGTCTAAAACGCATCATTAAACAAAGGAATTCGAATAATTAGACTGATGTCGAGTGGCTATGGATTCCGGGTCATAAATGAAAATTCAAACCAGTACTAGGGGCTAAAATTCTTTGCTCGGAGAAGAAAGTAAAGGAAATGACGAACGCTGATGGAACAAAAACAGTTCTGAAGAAAAGCTCAGTGGAGAAGCCAAGACAAATATGGAAAGAGACGTAGAAGTAGAGATGTCAGGAACGAGGGTCGAGCGTTTGAAAAGAGAGAGGTACCCATAGACTTACAACTAAAAATTACAGAAGAATTACCTTTCTTCAACCCTCAAGGTTCTGGAATCACACCATCATACACCCCATCAAACCATTGAACATGAATCGGTGTTGGCAATATAAAGACAATGTCAGAAGTACAGCTAAATTTTTTTTCTATGGCTAACTAGGTCCTAAAATTCATCCATCCTAAACTCTACATTTTCCAACCACCAATAAAACTTCATCTGCGGCTCCGATTGGCCTCCCTACGCCTCCGTCTCCTCCCAGAACGCCCTAAAAGGACTCTGCCTTGACTACGGAGACGATTCACAAGTGACAAACGATCACTGGCACGAGGAATACCTGCATTGTCATCATTGTCACTTTCACTGTCTTGATCTGAATAGTCAAAGCTCCCAATACGGGAGGTGCGACTACCTACCACAGTTCCTCCCTCCAATGTATGGTTAGAGTTCCTCTCCTGCCGCCTGATACCTCTATTTGATCCAATATTACCTGCAGGATCAATTCTCTGCAAAACAAGGAAGACGTTCCTCAAATTGCTTTCAATCCTTGCCAAACTGCTATCAACACCAAACTCAAAACCTTCACTTTGGTCCAGGTGATCATCATCAAAACCGTCTTCCTCATCCGAAATAAAACCATAATGACCTCCTTCAATCACGTAATCACCAAAAACGACTGCCCCTGGCATTGATGATGTTATTGTGCTGATAACATCCTCTCTTTCTCGCTCCCGCTCAAGTCTTCTCCATTTTTGTTCAAGAAGGGGATCCACCTCACGAGGTTTAGCAGAAGGGTGATCTGCCCTAACATGTTTCCGCAACTCCTTGTAAGTTCCTATAAATGAGCAGTTATCCTGCATACAGCTTCGTTTTTTAGCATTCAGATATTCTCGTGCCGGCTCAACCACTGTCCAGCCCTTCACTTGGCCCCGGCAAAGGGGACATGCAAGTTCAGTGACTTCACATTTATCAATGGGCCAACCAGACACTGGTGGAATCATGGCTGGGCTGTCAATTGTACCATCAAGATGTTGATTGTGATCAGCTGATGTCACTTTTGTGTAGGCTTTCCTATACTGGTCAAGGCAGTTGGAATAGCGAAAACTAGTTCCACACATATAGGGACGGCAACCTTTTTCATGTGAAGAACACAGAAGGAGAACAGCATTGTGGGGATACTCCATACATACAGAACAAGTGGCATCTTCCCAGTCTTTCTTGACAAGTGTTTTGGAGCATTTCTTCCGCTGCATCTTCTCAGACTGATTACCACATGGTAGTGGGTATGGGGTTTGCCTGCACTGGCGAGAAGCAAACCTGCGTCTTCCCCTGGTACCTTTTGCCATTTCCTTAATAAATCTGCAAGTAAAATTGGAAACATCATCAAACAATATACCCTGTTGATAATGACAAACAAGAAAGCAATGTAGCACATCTCTAAAATCTACATTTGAAGCTCAACTACAAGAAACATCTCAAATCAATCTAGCACTGAACTATTAACTTATTGCACCAACCATCTTCCCCTACTACAAACAAGATTCACACAGCATCAATAAACACATGCATCAGAAAGCATATCACCATATGCAACAATTGTCAGTTGAATAGAACGGTTATAAATTCACATTCGGCACAATTATCGACAGTGAATAGTGGGACATCATGAATAATATTCGAAGACCACTGAACATTTGGACATTTCACGCCAAGCACAAAAAAAGTTGTTGTACAATGTAAAAGAACATATCACATCTGGACAGGTCCAAATATAGTGAATATAAAGATCCATTTCAGGCAAAGAAATTACTCCTAGTTTTTCACCAAAGACTATTTAACTAAATAACAGACTGATAATAAATTCGTCCAAGAGACAAGAAACACTCCTTTTTCCAAACAGGCATTTCTCAACTTATCTGAACAAATCCTGTAACCTTTGTATGACTCAAAAGATCATGTGAAAACAACAAACAATAGTTGATAACCACTACTGCTCCCACCATCATGATAAAGGGACATGCATCCTGCCTCTACACACATAGAGGACCATCAGATCAGAAAATAAGTGCCCAAACTAACAAGCACTAGCTGCGCCTTGCTCGTTTGCAATTACAGACAAACTACCGCTTTCAAGCACAAGTCACCCTCTATTACACTCAAAAGAACTGCTTCCACACATCAATGATAGATGAAATATGTGATACAGCTTAAAAATATCAACATTCAAATAACTGAAAATTTTCAAATAACTACATAAAGATTGGTGGTTCAGGGCCCACATAAAAGACAAGATATTCCGAATTGCATCTAAGAGAACAAGACCATGTATTCTTGCTGTAAACTTGCTACCTATTTTCCCAACATGCTAATCTGATGCAATTGGAATTTACTAGAAAAGAGCCATAAAGCAAATGACCTGGTTGTATATAGATATATCATGCTTAGTAAAACATGTAGCAAACCAGTTTTCAATGTTTAGAGATTCTATAGCATTCAGTTAACAGATGGTAGAGGACAAAATTAACCAGCAACAATAAGCAGATAAACAGGTCAATTGGAGGCATGTATCCCTTAAACATATAAACTCTGAATAATAGAGATGCAGATGATCCAGAAAACAAAGATGACCTTAACAACTGGTCATTAATTCTTTCAGCAGCACGACAACTCAAGGTGTAAATGGGAGGACAAAAAAGTAGTACAAAAATATCGGTCTCTTCCAATTCTTTATCCGGTTTACTCTAGACTGCTTAACCTCACTGCCAGCCATCATTCATGAGTGAATAATTGACAATTAGAAAGTTCAGAATTTTTCTTCTTTTTTTTTTGTTATGCATATGCTACCCACCAACAAATCATCATTTCTCCCCAAATTATGGCACACAACAAACATGTCTTGAGTAATTCGATTCAATCAAAGAACAATTGTAGCCAAATTATACCTTCATTCACCTCGAATAATTGACTATTGATCAGTACAACAAAAACAATGGCGAAACAAAGAATTAATCCTCCAACAAACATGCAATCTAAATTTGACAAAAGCAAGCAAACCCACCTACGCACTTCGATCGTATCTGGATCTTACCGATATGAAATGAACCTAAGCATTCCTCATACATTCCCCCAAAAAAAAAAATCAACCTTTTTATAGTATTGAGAGTGGCCGTATCAGAATAATACATCCAAATCACCAGATAACGTGCAAAACCCAAATAATCACGCGACTAGACAGTTAGATAATTGAATAAACTAATCGCGGTAATACAAATAAAATAATCCTGGACGAGAAAAAAGTAGGAAAGTTTGCTCATTTAAAAATTACAAAGAAAAATCTCCATTGCACATGGCTTCTGACATTTTTGCAATCCACATCTGAGATTCATCCAACTTAATATAATTAACACGAATTTACAAATACTAAAGCCATCACAAATTCCATCCAATTCATCTTACCGGGATATTTCTTGAATTTGGATGATAGCGGGATGAAATTCGCGCAGAGACAACTGGAGGGATAATTTATACAGAGAGAGAAAGAGAGGAAGATACAGATAGAGAGAAAGGGAAAAAGCTAGGGTTACGGATACGGAGAGGTCGAGGGAAAACAGAAATGAGAGAGCGCGGGCATTTTTCTAATTTTCCCTGTTCGCTGATGTTTTACTACTACAATTTTAGGAGTTGGAAATGGCAAAAATGAATGAATGAATAAATAAATAAAGGAGTCAAAAGATGGGGAGAGAGAGAGAGAGAGATTATATTTAAAGGAAAAGCGAAGGGGAAGGGGGAACGGTTGATTTATGCGATTCGGCTGAGAGTTGTTTGTACGCTACTCTCTCAGTCACTGGTCCAACCAGGGTGGGAGAGAGAAGAAGAAGAAGGGGCTTTACTTTGGGGATGGCAGTTTCACGCTCTCGTAGGGGAGAGTTAGATACACATTTCCGCCTGGGCAGCCTAGCCACATTCTGTCGTCATGCCTAAATTTAATTAAAACTTCGATTATGTTGGATTTCAGCTTCAGTATATATTCTAAATGAATACTACAAGATTTGATGCAGCAGTGAAAGCGTAAAAATAAGATTTGTTTCAAGAACAAAAAATTAGAAGTAAAATCTAAAGTCTAAATAACTCCTTGATAGGAGGACGATGAATCTTGAATTCAATGAATCTTTAAACTCAAGAAGTCCCTTGTTTTTTTTTTTTTTGAGTTATGATATTGAAATTTTAGTTGTAATAATATTTGGAACAAATTATTTGAATGACCACTAAACTTTTGCAATCGTCGAGTTTTGACCGCTGAACTATTAAAAGTCTAATTTAGTTTCTAAAGATACGTGTTAAACTTCTTAATTTGCCCATTTCTTTC